AATATACTATAAATAATATAATAAAATATACTATAAATAATATAATAAAATATACTATAAATAATATACTCTCTCTCTTTAAAATAATAAAATATATATATATATATATATATATAATATCTTAAAAAACAAAATAAAAATGAACTATATATATAAGAAATATCATAAATATAAATTAGAATATCAAAAGAATTTGTAAAAAAATATTCTCTCTATTAATTATTATACAGTAATATAACAATAATAAAAAATATATTATAAAATGAAATTTTTATCAGGCAAATGATTAAATTTTATGATAAAACTAAACAACATTATTTTCAACCCTTGTAAATAATAATTATATTGTTTAACTAAATCTCGCGCGGTAAATTATTTTGATTATCCTTGTTAACTGTTATATGCACTCATATACACATACAGGCGACAGGCACATAAACGCGTAGTTAATTAAGCCACATTTTGATGAAAACATAATTCCCATGCATCGTAGCACTCTAATACCCAGATCTAATCTTACACGGATGTAAATAACAAATACGAGGAGAAGATGCCATTGTTAAATCTTTACAATATTTATTTTATATCATTCTTTCTTTTCTTTAAAGTATCACTGAAAAAAGACAAAATCAATGGGGATTTTTGAAATAACGAATAAGAAATGATATACTTTATCTATGTATAAAATATTATACATATTACAAAATATAAAAATTATACCTATGTATCAAATATATATATATATATATAGTATCGAGAAGTAAATATAGATAAGTAGGTAGGCGAGACGAAAGACTAAAGGGAAAAGGACCCAATGGTCGAAATAAAGAAATACGATGCGTGGTCTGTTCTTTGTAAATTATCAAAGTGACGTGAGAATTGGTAAAATCTAGAAGGTTCTCAAAACGGATGTTTGGTAAATTCGAGAACGACGCAGACGAATATAAAAGGACACAGATTTAAGGGGACACGTCAGCTTCGAGTGCAAAAAAAAATCGGTTTTTTTGTGACTTTTTTTTGCAGCCAGTTTTATTAATATCAATACAAATTTTTGGTATATGTCAGTTATATATCTGAACTATATTCACAATTTTTGTGTGTGTAAAAATATTGTAAATTGTGTTGTCTGTGGCCACTTTTCTAAGAGCCAAAAAAAACAAAAAAATGTGATTTTCGGTTGCTCTCACTGGCAAAAATTGGTTCATCAGAAACATAAAAACCGAGTGTTATCCTTTAGTAGAGATGTTGGCGCAGGGAATGAACGAAAGGAAATTTTGATTTTTTAATTTTTTTTTCAAAATAGTCGACTTTTTATGAAAAAATTGACATTTTTGCAGAAAAATCGTCGAGTTTTTGAGAATAGAAAAAAAAATTGGCATTTTTTCGAAAGAATCCTTTCGTTCATTCCCTAGATACGTGTATCTAGTATTACTGTACAAAATTTGGTAAGGATCGGATAAATGGTCTGGACGCAGCGAGGACAACGATTTTAAAAACGCGAATAGGAGAAATGAACGTTTAAAGTTTTGGACACTTACTTGGAGCGCTACAGCGCGCTCCGTTTAAACTACTACAGTTTCGTAAATAATGGGCGGATCTTTACTAAAATTTGAAAAAATATTTTTGAAATAATATTCTTTCAGAAAATCGAAAAAAAAAATTCGATTTTTTTGTTGACGTGTCCCCTTAAGGAGAAGGGCAGTCCGTTAATCGGTTCAGGAGTATTTGGTTAGTCACCAGTCGAATCAATTGCAGTTGCATTATAAGTTGTTATCAGAACGCAGTTGCTTATCTAAGAAGCAAGAAGTCAGAGTGAAGTCAGAAGATTGTGAAACTATTATTGTACTTTTCTAATACCTGTTTTAAATATATCTTATTAGTAGGATTAAACTGGGTGTATGTTCACCTCGCACCTCTCACCCTAAATAAATTTCCCTATATATATATATAAAAAAAAACTCATGCACGTAGAGAATTTTTCTAACATTTTTTTATGCTTTTAAAAACTGTGATAGATTCAATTTAGATCGTGACTGACCTGACATTGTTATGTCGTTGAACGTACATCTCGTGAAACCTGGTCTGTTTGTGCTTGTTAGCTTCCTGACAAGCGTCCGCCATTTTCAACATTATACTCCTTTTAACCTGTAAACAGTATCGTATGTTTTTTTTTTTTTTTTTCGATAAAACTATTACATCCTTTCCATTTCTTTTCTTTTCTTTTCTTTATTTTTCATTTTTATTTCTTATCTTTATTCCTTTTTTTATGTTCACATAAAATAATCAAAGTAAATTATTTTTTATCGAATAAGAGTTTAAATATTTTTGTTGAGAAAAAAAAAAGAAAAAGAATCGTTTAAATATAATATCTTTGATAAAATATCCATACATATTATATTTTTCTTTAAACATAAACAAAAAATAATCCCTCTGTCAGGGTGTGGGTAAGAATACACCCTCAGTAATCCCTGCTTGTCGTAAAAGGCGACTAAAAAGGGATAAAAGGGTTTCCCTTTTTGAACAAATGGTGTGTATCGAAAACCATGCTTAAAACTTCATACTTGATCACAATGTTTTATGAATACTACAATTCATATATGTTATTAAATAATATATTTAAATAAAGAAAAATATATATTGTTTCATTTATAATTAATAAAAAAATAAAAATAAAAATAAAAATAAAAATAAAAATAAAAAAGAAAGAAAAAAGAAAAAAATTGAAACAATCTAAATATAAAATGAATATAATAATATTAATATTAATATTAAAATAATAATAATATAATATAAGTATATATATATTATATATTATGTAATATATTTATACTATATATATATTTACTATATTTTACTATATTATACTGTATTTATATATATATACTATATTTTACTATATTATATATTATATATATATACTATATTTTACTATATTATATGTTATATATTATATTATTATATTAATATTATATTTTATAATATTATATAAAATATATAATATTATATTATATTTTATATATATATATAATATANNNNACTATTTATTATATACACATTAATTAGTATTATATAATAAATAGTATTATTTATAGTAATATTTATAATAATATTATATAGTTACTATTATATAATATAGATATTTCGATTGATAAATTTCTATCACCCTGTATATATAATACAATTTGTATAACATAAATAAAAAAAATATTAAAATTAACATATACAAGAAATTACTACGAGGAAAAAAAATCGCATATGTATACGTACTACACACACACACACACACCCACACCCACAAAAACATACATACAATTATAATTTTTTTGTTTTCTTTTTATACGAAATAGCTTTTTAAAATCAACTTGATAAATTATATTATATGAAAACTAGTTTTGGAAATTTACACGAAGAAAAGAAAAGAAAAGAAAAGAAAAGAAAAGAAAAAAAAAACAAAACAAAAGAACCAAAGAGAAGACACATCGATGTTTTTTTTTTCCTTTTTTTTATAAATCATACCTTAGGCGGGATTATAAGAAAGGTTTCTACTTTGTGCTGGGCCAGATAATTCTCACGTGATCCACCATCCCCTGGTTCGACCTCAAAACGATCACCAAGCTGAAGAAGGGTGGCTTTTGTTATGTGGACCCTCCTTTGACAAAGATTTAAGTACAATTGAACGTAGTTTATTTATATTTTATCTTTTTCTTTATATATATATATATATCTTTCTTTTTAAACATGTTTCATATTTTTTTTAATTTTAATTATTAAATTTTATTCATTATATTAATACTTTAATGGCAGCACGTCTACGAAATACTAAATATTATTCTTAAAATATACATAAATTAATTACAATATTAGAGTTCAATTTTTATCATTATTTATCAAAATATTTGATTTGCAAAATATTTATTAAAAGTCTCTTATATTATTTACTTTTTTTGTAATTATTATAAAAAAATGCGCGCCTGTATGAATGCAACCCTCCAGACACACTTTGAAAATGGTGTTTGCGAGCGCCATCTGTCGGAACGGAATTTTTTTCTGCTCGAAGGATAGGCAACCCGTCATACATACGTGTATAAACAGTTTTGACTGGAAAAAAATTCCGTCCCAGTAGATGTCACTCGCAAGCAATATTTTCAAAGTGTGTCTGGAGGGTTGCATACCAACAGGCGCGCATTTTTATAATTAAATAAATAATTAAATAAAAATAATTACAAATTAAAAGTACATAATAATATTATATAATACATTATCCTCGAAACTTGTTTTTTTCTTCTTTTTATCTACTTTATCTCCTTTTTGTTTTAATCTTTCTAATCTTACCCAGGAAGACCACCACTTTCCATGTGATTAGCCAGAGTAACGTCGTCACTCCAAACATCGAATTGCCATTTGCGAAGTCCAAGAACACCGCAGAGAACATTTCCAGTGTGAATTCCAATTCTCATATCAACGTTAAATCCAGTTGCTTCTCGTACAAATCTATAGAACAAAAAAAAAACAAAAATATAAGATAATCTATTTAAATGATATTTAGATGAATGATTTAATAAACAAATAAAATTTAAACGATTGTTCATTTATCATAAAATATAAATAATTAATATTTCAATTGCACGAGTTCAACAGAATTTTGCATCTTGATTATTTGTTAGTTTTGTTTATTTCGTTTTTAGATTATCTTATAATATCTTTAAAATGATTAACACGTTGAGCGCCACGCGAACTTTTTAGAGAAATTCCCATCAGGCCACAGGTGTTACTTTGTATTGAAAAAGTAGTTGAACGTGTCAGTCACCGGCGACGGACGTGGCTTAAACGAAAAGTCTAGTGCCAGTCATCGGTGACTGACGTGGCGTTCAACGTGTTAAAAGGTTTTACCTAATGGCGTCTATCATTTGCAGGCCCATATTGACGCAATTATATGCATGATTAGGTCGGGAAACTGGTAATCCGGAGACACAATAATAACAATCTCCTAATATCTTGATTCTCATGCATTGATTGTCCTGAAACATAGTATAATCATCTATGATAAGTAATTATAATATTTATTAATAACAAATATATACATATTATTATTATATTAAAAATGATATATTTAAAATAGAATACTTTTCTTTCCTTTCATTGAATATAATATTATATAAACGTATATACATGTATAGTATCTATACTACATATATCATTCAAGCACAAACGGATACCTAACAACCGAAACACAGGGTATTGTCACGTGTTATACATCTATTAACACCTACGCATTATATACATTTATATATATATATATAAGAAAGGGTATTCTGTAATTGATGGTACAAACGAGTATTACATAATTTTATACGAAATATAAATTGTAAATTGATAATGTGGAATTCAATTTTGTTATAAAACAAAAAATAAATTCACTAAATTTATTGAATAACTCGTACACTTTACTTAAGTGAGTTTGCAACCATATATTATATATATAATATAATAATTATTATATATTATAATTATATAATTATTAAATTATATAATTATATAATTATTAAATTATATAATTATATATTATATAAATTATAATATTATATATTATATAATTATATTATATATTTTATATAATTATAATTATATAATTATTATCTATTTATTATAATATTATAATTATATAATTATAATATATAATAATATTATATAATATATATA